GAACCAGTACAGGTTAGGGGTTGACCTGCTGGAAAGCAGCTCCATGGAGAAGGACCTTGGAGTCCTGGTAGACAAGAAGTTCTCCATGCGACAGCATGAACACCAAGAGGGCCAATGGTGTTCTGGAGTGCATTAAGAAGAGTGTGACCAGCAGGTCGAGAGAGGTTATCTTCCCCCTCTCCTCTGCACTGGTGAGGCCTCATCTGGAGTATGGTGTCCAGTTCTGGGCTCCCCAGTTCAAGAGAGATAGGGAACTTCTGGGGAGAGTCCAATGGAGCACTACGAGGATGATTAAGGGACTGGAACATCTCTCGTATGAGGAAAGGCTGAGAGATGTGGGGCTGTTTAGTCTGGAGAAGAGAAGGCTGAGAGGGGACCTTATCAATGTCTATAAATACCTGAAGGGTGGCTGTCAGGAGGATGGAGCCAGTCTCTTTTTGGTAGTGCCCAGTGATAGGACAAGGGGCAATGGGCACAAACTGCAGCACAGGAAGTGCCACCTCAACATGAGCAAAAACTTCTTTACTATGAGAGTGACAGAGCTCTGGAACAGGCTGCCCAGAGAAGTTGTAGAGTCTCCTTCTCTAGATACCTTCAAAACCCAACTGGACACATTCCTGTGCAACCTGTCCTAGGTGATCCTGCCTTGGCAGGGGGGCTGGACCAGATGATCTTGAGAGGTGCCTTCCAATCCCCACCATTCTGTGATTCTGTGATTCTGTGATTTCTCCTCCCAGCAGCTCCAGGGAGTCTGCTTCCTCATGTGACAGGGTGTTGTTTTGACATGCTGAAAATTCAGGCTAAAGTCTGATGTACATTTGCAGGCTTGTGCCTGTTGCCATGTGGGTGGTTGCACCAGAGAAGTTGTTTTGACACAACTTTCAGTTAACAGGATGGACTTGACTGCTACAGCTATAATGGTGTGAGCCCTAATGGCAGCATCAGTTGCAGCACAGGGGAAGTAATCTCATGTTTATATATTGTTTTGGGGGAAGTGAAAACTCACCATTCACATGGTGGACCTAGAACTGCTACTTTAATTATACCAGTCTAATTAAAGCAGCAAAAGCCTATTGTAGGAAAGAAGAATCATTGCCGTACTGGTTTTAGACTGGTGCAACTTGAATTAGAATTATACACCCTTGAGGCAAGATTTGTATTGCATTGCCACTTCTCACTGAGCTGTATTGGGAGTAAAGGTCTTAAAAGAAAGACTTTTGAAGTTTTGCTTTCTAAGGAAAACCTAGTTCTTCAGTCCTTTTTTATACCAGTTAGAGAAGTTTCATTTGACTGAGCCCATCTTGCCAAGTTTATTTCTGATGACAAGCCAAGGCTTCTCTTTCCATTAGGTGCACTCAATGGATTTTGATGACACGTGGCACCCAGCCACACACCCATCCGGGGCTGTGCTCCCTGCTGTGATTGCACTCTCAGAGGCCTTTCCTCAGAAGAAAAAAATCTCAGGTCTCGATCTGCTCTTAGCTTTCAATGTGGGAATCGAAGTGCAAGGCAGGCTGCTGCGTTTCTCCAGTGAAGCCAGGAATATTCCAAAAAGGTACATAGAAATGCTTCAAGTAGAAAATAGGAAGTGCTTTTTCCTCAGTGTTAATATACTTAATTAAATGCCAGTTAAGATACCAATGACACAGTTAATCATATTTTCTATGTTGTTTGTCTGGAAATTTAGGAAAGGTTCATCTTAAACATAAATACACTTACGTGACTCCTTATGGCTTAGCCAATAGATTTATTTTTGAGAGCATGGATCATTTTACAAGAAGGAGGTGATGATCTCCCTAGTAATTAAAAACAGCAGCAAAAGGGCAATGGTTAACAGCACAGGTCTCAGGCTCTCACGAATACTTACGATCATGCCCCACTTCCCAACAGTGGCTTGCTGCCATCAGAATGGAGTCACTGGTGCTGGGCTCAGAGCGGAGCCCAGGAAGACAGGGTGTGCTTGGGGGAAAGCCTAAGGGATGGAGTAAATGTCTTGCTATTTTCTGTGTGGTCCTTCTACCAGTTTTGCAAAACTGGTTCAGAACAGCAAAACTTTCCTCTCCCAATATGTATAATTGATAGATGACTAAATTATTTACAGATAGTTTATAATTACTATAAACTGTGATGCTTTTGCCATTATTCTGTTCAGTATGCCTTGAACTATGAGCAGTTCTAACATTTCAATTGCTTTCTGGGGAAGACCTATTGTGGGTGGTACCATTCCAGTTTAAATGGTTCCTGGGGAAAAGCGACAACTTCTTCCATAAGACTGCACATGAATGCTGCATTTATGTTTCTTTATGGTCCAATCCATCTTCCACAGCAGTGAGAGGAAATTTGAGCTTGCGTATATAGTGAATTTGGGTGACTTTTTGAAATATGGTAATGGAGAGATTTTGTTTTCTCAGGTTTCACCCACCAACTGTGGTTGGTACGATGGGGAGTGCAGCAGCTTGTGCTAAACTGCTAGCTCTTGACCAGCTGAAATGTAAAAACGCCTTGGCTATTGCTGCCTCCTATGCAGGTGCCCCACTGGCTAATGCAGCAACCCAAACGAAGCCCCTCCATGTTGGCAACGCTGCCAAGCATGGACTGGAAGCAGCTTGCTTAGCATCACAAGGCCTTCAAGGAAACAAACAGATCTTGGACATGGAGTCAGGGATAGGTGCCTTTTATACAGATTACAACCCACAGACTCTGCCAACCTTGCAGTCCTATCCCTGGCTGTTGGACCAGCAAGACGTGGCCATCAAACGCTTTCCTGCTCATCTTGGAACACACTGGGTGGCTGATGCAGCATCTTCTGTTAGGAGGAAGCTTGTGGAGAGCAGTGACAACTTGCTCCCTCTTGATAAAATTGAGCAAGTCATCCTCAAAGTCCCAGAGGTCAAATATGTGAACAGACCCAGCCCTAACTCAGAACATGAAGCTCGACACTCCTTCCAGTTCGTTGCATGCTCTGCTTTGCTGGATGGAAGCATGTCAGTCCAGTCCTTCACCAGTGAGAACATTCACCGGCCAGCCTTACGGGAGCTCCTCTGCAAAACACAGCTGGAGCACCCTCCTGATAACACACCTAGCTTTGAGAGTCTTTACTGTGAAGTGAGCGTCACACTTCGGGATGGCAACACGATCAGTGACCGCTGCGATACATTCTACGGACACTGGAGGAAACCTCTGAAAAAGGAGGACTTGGAGAAAAAGTTTCAATCCAACGCCTCCAGCATCCTGCCTGCAGAAGCCACAGAAGGCATTATAGAGACCGTGTACAATCTGGAAAACGTAGAGGATTGCTCTGTATTAAGTACATTTTTATCAGGACAGTCAGCTAAAGTGCTTTCAGAGAAGCTGCGCTTCCTTTGAATGTTCCAAGCGACAGCTAGATGCTGTTCATAAAGCAAACACAAAATTCAGGACAAACTCTTATTTAGTGACTCAAGCACTTTTAAATTGGACTCCTGTAACAGAAGAGCCATGCTCAGTCCCATATTGTGCTTTTTGACTAAGTAAATAATTTAGGAATTATGTGCATGGCTCGCTCAGGCTGAACAGAAGATTCTCTGCTGGCACAGTCAACTTCAATTATCTTTATATCTCTAGAGGCAGAGCACTGCTTGCGTGCGACACAAATTACCCCGCTCTTCTGCCAAAAAAAGTCTGTATGTTCCGCTTCTGCTAAGTAACTCCATAAAGGAAATCCAAATTCTGGAGGAGTATGGAAATGCCATCTCCGTGAGAAACATCACTGTGGGAAGGACAGAGAACAAAAGCCTTTAAATAATTATTTCTGTAGATTTAGCTCTAAAGTTTTCTTGGAGAGGGCACCTGTTACATTTACGTTTACATTTGTGCTAAAATAAACACGGCATACGTACAGAGTACTAGCACTTGATACTTTGCAACAGGTCTGGCTTTGCTGTTAACGATTGTTCTTGCATTGACAAGGTAAAGGTTAGTGCCCTTCCTGATCACATCAGCTGCAGAGCAAGAGGGACAACTCAGCACTCCCTGTCATCAAAGCGTTGCTTCCCGGTTCCATCTTTTGGCTCCTCTGTTGTACAGGTTTGTTCCATCTGTATTCCCGCTCCAGTTACAAGGTGCTCACTCAACAAAACATGATTAGCACTAATTAATGATGACACGTTTAGATTAATTCAGGCACTGCGAAGCATGAGATGCAGTACACTCATTATGACTAACAAACCAGTGAGCATCAGAAAGCCTCTTATGCTGAGACAAGGAAGTGTCCACAGTCAACTTGCCTTGACAATGAATTTTGGGAACTTTTAGTTCCTTCAGGAGTACAAAGCCTCGACAGCCTGTGCTTCTAAGAAAGGCTCACATATGTAAGATCAAAGCATGTGTTCTAACATACATAAAATGTACCGTCCTTAGGGCACTAAAATATGTATGAAAAAAAAAATCAGCAAAAACTGATTCATTTTACTAACTAAACTTCAATTTATTTCATTTATTAGAGCAAAATCTGTGTATTTTCCCACACACAAAGTATTAATTTGTACTTAAGCCTCTGACTCTTAGTTTATAAAGTCGGCTTATCTAGGGGGCTCTGCAAAAATTTCCGAAGTCCATTAGTTACACTTGCTTAGAGACTTGCAAGGGAAGAAAAAAAAAAAAGGAACCACTTTTTCTTTTTCCTTTCTGATTAGAAAGTACAACTGAATTACTCACCTGTATTGAAGGTATACAGACTCACAGCTACTTCATCTGTCATTATAGCTGGGTAACACCAAATGTTAATTACTGATAATGCAGTAAAACCCCATTGGTTCCTACCTTGTCTTACCAAGATTGAATACTTTCAGATTCATGAGGAAAAAAAACAGACGAACCACCACCACAACCTTCAACACATGCTTTCTAATTTAAAAGAGAAATAAATAGGATAAGCTTAGCAATAACCATTTGATGTATTACAGATTTTTAAAAAACAACAAAAAATAAAACCCAAAACCAAACAAACAGACCAAGAACTGTGAAGTTTAATAGTTGCATTATTTTATTAATACAATCAAAGGAAGCTAAATGCTTATGCTTAGCTAAATTTCCTTGCAGAATTCTGTACGCTTCCAGTCAGGCAAGTTTCAGGACTTCTTGTACCATTGTTCCAATTCCATCAAAGATTTCATGCAGAGGAGCCTTGCACATGAAAGCACAGGTAGTAACTATTTTATTGGCTTTATCCACGTGAGATTCATTTACATTTTTGCAAATGTGCTTACATCCAAGCTCTGCTATAGCAGATGCCGTTTCAGCATCAGGATATCTGTAAATAAAAAGATTGTAATTAACATAAAGAGATGATACAGCCATAAAGTTCTGCCACCATAATTTGAATTGAATTTGAATAAGAGAACTACAAGAATATTTAAGTTACTCTTTAGGTGATGACGACTGCCACTGTCAAGTTCTCCCATCCCCTATGGGTTGAAAACAAGGTCTGAAATGCAGAGCCACGGTATGGCAGAAGGTACAATTCTGTTTTTAACAGTCTTTCAATAAGTTTCCAAGATGATACCAAGTACAGCCATAACAGATCCTCAGAAGTTTGAGAGTTGCCAGCTGAACTTGTGGACACATTAGACCTTTTCCAACACCTCCGTATTAGGTCTTCCACTGGGATTCTGCAGAGATTTTCTTTTTTTTTCCTGAGGATGAGGCAGGAACAGGGGTGTAGAGGCAATCCCTCACTACCACTGTTGATGTGAAATTCCATTCAGAAGTTTTATTGGGAGTTGACAGTCCTTGAAGCAGCATCAACTTCTGCCAGGCCCTATTCTCATCTGCCTCCCCTAAACTGGTCCCAAACCATTACCGCCAGAAAAACTTTATTAAAAATCTCTGACCAGACAAAATCCCACAAATGCTATTTAAATAGCCACTCAAATTACCACAGGGTACCAAATTTCTGAATGTCAGCTGGCCAGAAGCCTATTTTTCATTTGTGCATTTGCAACATGAATGATGGTCTTCAAAGGCATTGGGTAACTAAATTCTGTTATCCCACTTAATATGAGCTAAAATCTATCGCTCAATTACCATGAATGTAACATGAAAAAATAACTTGATATCCTTGGTCACCTGCATGTTTGCAGAGATAAGAGTTCTGTAAAAGTCTCTTTGTTCTGTCACTTTTAGGACTGACAGATGCTATATCCAGTGACTCATTAGCACCCACACAGCACAATAAACCCAGTGCAGGAACTGATGTTACCTTTGGTGGCTCACAGAGTGACAGAGATAAGGCTACCTAGAGTTTTCATGCTCTCAATCCCTTCATCCCCCAGCCTGTATTGATGTCGGGGCAACCCCTGGCATCAGTACAAGGCCGGGGCATAAAGAGATTGAGAGCAGCCCTTCCAAGATGGACTTGGGGATACTGGTGGATGAAAAGCTGGATATAAGGCAGCAATGTGAGCTCACAGCTCAGAAGACCAACCATGTCCTGGTCTGCATCCAAAGAAGTGTGGCCAGCAGGTTGAG